CATCACGGATGAGTTGGAGAGTTATTGTGGATTATTGAGTCCGCCGAGAACACCACCGATCTCACCGCCGCCATCACGGATGCGCAACATATCGGATATGTTGAATCCTGAAATGGCATGGCAGATTGAAAACGAACACTTGCGTGACGCGGAAGAATGCGATTATCAGCAGATGGAGGATTTGATTCATCGACGTTATCACGGTGATGATGATAATGGCAACGAGCCATCAAATATGCATGCGGATGAAGCTGGTGATATCACGTATTTCTTTAATATGTCCAACGAACACCGCCAGCTGCGTCGTGCCTCCGCGATCGAGGAGGATCCCCGCCGACCACCGCCAACGATTAGCGTCACCCGTGAGATCGAGCAAACGCTTGCACGCCCACCAATACACGATTCAGAAGCGACCAATCCGAGTGATAAGAATCTGAGTACCGTACCTGCTCCCGCTTCTGAAACCATGTGTTAAAGAGTGAAAATCGAGTAAGGAGAAATATGCATCGTTTGCTAAGCTTTCGGAAAATCAATTTCCAATTAGTAAAATAATCTTTGTCGAATTATTAGCTTTATCACGTTTTTACTCGAATATAATCGTATTCTTCGTGTTCATTAATTGTTTTCTTATCAACGACGCATAGAATTTTGAATGTTTTTAATGATTACAAGAGTAATTAACTACCTCTCTATTCAAAGATTGGAGGCCCAATACATTTCCTCTAATCTAATATTGCTTCTCAGTTCCCACACAGCACCAAGTCGATTGTTGGGGTGGGTTCAGATCTTGACAGAAAAATAAAAATCAGTCAGCTAATGTAGTCGAGTACCTTATGTCAAATCTAATGCTCAATTCCTTCACCTCTAAATAAGTTTATCCAGGAAGTATCTCTCACACACAGAATACATTGAAGATATCTCCTGGATAAAGCTATCCGCAATTTATCTGGAAGTGAAGAAATTGGGCACATAAGACGATTATAAGCCGACAGTCGTGTAACCTTATTTTAATAGTCGGCTAAATATCGACTTCAAAATATTGACTATCAGGCTTTGTAGGTTTCTCATGTTCTAATGAAATGAATATATCATGACATTGGTGAATAATGCATAGGTATGGTCGAATGTTATTCAATTTATCACTTTCGAAGAGGAATTCCGAAAATCGGTCCCAAAACCATCCAAAGTGCGTTTCGTGGCGAGCTCTATCGATTGGATATAATGAAATTTTTATCGATTTTTTAGTTTTGAAGATTGGGAAAGAATGCGTCGTGTCTCGTTATTCGAAATATGTTCTCAAAATATTATGGAACATATTCTCAGAAGATCATCAATGATATTCTCAAAATATCGCGGATATCGGCATTGCTATGTAGAGAAATTTCAAAAAATTTCGAGTTCCAAGAATACAAAGCTTAAACAGGAGCAGATAAGAACATGCGCTCAACGCGGTTGGACAGTGCTCCTCTTCTTAGTTAATAGCTCCTGCCTCCCTCTAAAGTATGCGGAGGTAATACGGCCAGATCACGTCATAAATGATTATAATATTAAAAATGCATACAAGATCAAGGGAACGATGCAATGCCCGCGAAAATAGCGTTGTCCGAACGGACAACCGGGCGCCTGAGTCTATGACGTCGTCAGGACGAACGAACGAGACGAGCACAATTCGCGGACACGCACCAGACCCTGTGGGTTCAATTGTTCAGTCAAAATCGGCAACACTTTCAAAAATATTAAATTGAAAGCACCCGATCCGAAACGCGTCCGCCGCGGTCGAGTGGTTCTTGATCGGAACTACAGTACTCCTCGAATCAACCAACTTTGGGCAGGATACCTAATCCCCTATCTCTCATCCCTCCTGAGTTACGGGACGATCAATTTCCAAGTTCCAAAAATATACTAAACGGGGGATGGTAGGGAGATGGATTGTACACTTCGAGTGAAACAACATTCAGGTCTTTATGCCAACCCCTTCCCCCCCGGTGCCACCCTTTCACGAAAAATTAGATTTTCGGATTCCCCGGAATTAATCTTAATAATGTAGGGGCCAAACGGCAAGTCTTAAAGGAATGACAAAAGACACTTTCTTCCTTCTTCCATCCTTTGGTTCTTAAAATATAATAAATAAAATTATCTGCACCTCAACTATACTTAATGCAAATTGAATGAGATATCAAAACGAATTTTTATTTTATCTTTTTTCCAGTAAAAACGCTCTGTACGAATCTTCAAGTGATTTTCTTCATTGCGAATATCGAAATTACATTGCAATTTCCTCGGTATTTTAATTGTAATTTCAGCATGAAGAAATTTATCTCTAACAGAGGTCTCTCCTAATCACTTTTGTCGACTTAAACCAAGAGCCATTTTCAGATATAGGCAAAATCTTGCAGGCTACATAATGTCTATTTCAATAACATATATGTACATATATAAATATACATTGTTTAATTCCTTAGCTTAGATACTAGATTGTGGGATCGCCAGAGTAGAATCTAAAATAAATCACTAATACACTCTATAAACTAGATCTGTATACTTACATATAAATTTCTTTACATTGAAATTGCGGCTAAAATACTACATAAATCGCGATATTTAATTGCGATATTCATGATCAGCAAAAAAAAAGCCTGAGGTGTATACAGAACGATTTTTTGGGGAAAAAGACAAAATAAAAATTCATTCTGATATCTCACCTGATCTCTATAGTGCACTTGGGGAGCACATAATTTTATTTATTATAATTTTTCAAGAATCAATTTGCAAAATACGGTTCATCTGTACGCGCCTTCAAAGCTTTATAAAAAAAAAGAAATAAAAAAGATTTTATGATGTAACATTACTTCTAGAAGATAAAATATCAGTGTAAAAACATGTATCTACGCCATAAATAAGGTGCATATCATTTTATTTATTATAATAATGGTTTTAAGAACAAAATTATAGAAGTTTGATTTTTTAGTAGGCTTCGTAATTTCATAAAATATAAGTCAAAATATAGCCAAAAATTCAGGGCAAAATATTTCTTCTACAAGACAATATCTATATATAATATATCAGATCTTTATGACAAGCCAAATCATTTAAATTTCATTTGTGGTGTAGCTACATATCTGCACTCTTTTAAATAAAGATCTGTTGATCATTAAAGCCGATTTCACCAACATCGGTTAATTTAATGAATAATTTCCGTACTCAATCTTTCCTTCAATATTGAATAAGAAAAACACACACACATACACACATGTTACATCCTATTCCCTGTTCCTTTCATTGTGTCTGAGTCTACTGTGTTCTAAAATTTACTATTAATAATGAAAATCTATAGTGTTTACGTCACGTGCACTATAGACTTTCAATACTGACAATAAATTTTAAAACACAGCCTTAATATTCAAGTGTTAGATTACGTCTTGATGAATCATCGTAATTGTTCTCATTTGTACATAATTTTTTAAAGCTATAATTAAATAATACAAAATTTGTAAGAAAAATTTGATAATAAACAGGGTTAATTGCGTCAGCAAAGCAATAAATGAGCTAATCTTGTTTAAAATTCTTGGATAAATAAATTTAATTACTTTCCATTTACATCAAGGCTGCATTCAAGAAGCCGCGCTATTTGTATCACCTATCCTTGATTTATGTCTAATAAATGAAGATAGAATGATACAAATAGCGCTAATAATAATGTCTTCTTGAATGTACCAGAGTCGGGAAGTAACACATTACTTGTAACGATGTTACTTTTTCGTAACTTTTTTTTTCACTGATGACGAAAAAGTAGCGACGTTACATTTTCTTTGTAACGAGTAACGAAATTGACTCCGTTATACTCTTATATCGTTACTTTTTTAGAGGTCACGGTCGTCATGGACAATAAAATTACAATAAAAAGGAAATTAATAATTGCCAGCTGTTTGCACTCCAGATTTAAATTAAATTAGTTAAACGGAAATGATGAAAACATTGCAGAACATTATTTAGAAGATTTATTAAGAATTTGTTCCAATGAAAGTTCTCTAAACTGTGATAATGACATCGAAGATAATGACTTTTTTGTGTTTAATAAGTAAATTTAAATACTGAATCTACTCAAGATATATTGCAACGAATTTTGAAGTCAAAAATTACTGAAATCGAAATGTTAATAAAAATCCAACAATTAAGAAATGTTTATTAGGTATAACGAAAGAAGTTACCTAGATGTGCAATTAATTTTGAAAAAGTGCATGTAACGGTTAAAAATTATTTCCTATTAAAATAAGTGCCATTCGCTTCGGAGCCGCTTGCGAATTTTAAATCCATCTTTGTATATATAATTTTTCGAGCAAATTACATTCATTTTAGTTAATAGGAAGTAGGATACTATACATTTAACTGTTATTTTTTTAAAACTATAATTGGATATCTGGGTAACTTCCCTTGTAAATATAATAATACTGCATCCGTTGAACGGCTATTCAGTATTAAATAATTCGTAGTATAAATAATCACAAAGGAGTCGTCTAGACGATAACATTTCACAAAATATCAACTTTTATTAAAAATAAGCAAAGAATATTTTTAATTTAAAATAAATCTTGCGAAACAATAATTATATGTTAACCACAAAAAATAAAATGCAATCAAACAATAAAAAAACTTTTTGCCTATTTTTGTTTTATTTACTATCCTCTCTCTTGCGTAAGAATTAAAAGCTAAAGGTGTTTCATCCCCAATCCATCCAACGCATGCTTGCATAATGCATTGTTGTAATGGGTGTATTCAAACAACGTGAAATCGGTGGAATAATTCCACGAACGTTGTAAGCCGTAAGCGTTAAATGGAACGCGGCTTTCAGTAGGTTCTTTCATCTGATTGGTCTATATTTTAGTACGTAACGGAATATGCCAATCAAATGAAAGAGCTCGCTAAGAATTCAACGAGCGGTTGTAATCTGAATGCACCCAGTATTTCACAGCTGATCTCAGCTGATCTGGATTCCCCAATAATTGTCAACTTGAACGATTAATATCTCAGCTCGCGGAGCACAGCAACGTTTTTTCTCGGACATTTTGTTTCTGACAAAAACGCGTCGACTGAGAACAATTTCATCGATCTTTGAGGTAGCGTGACTAAACTAAACAATTATCCGCGAATATAATTATATCATTTACATATTTATTTTAGTTTTACCCATTGTGACTTTGAATGCTTCAATACGTACTTATTACTATAATATATATTATTGTTTTTAATATTTCAAATAACAATTGTTATAAATTTGTAAAACCAACTGAACTTTTTCAAACATGTCAAATTTTTACTTTTGCAAATAGCTACTAATTATACGTTACGTACCAATATGGATAACCTAGAGATCACTGATTTGAACAAAGAGATCCAACTTAATAAGATCCATGTTGATGAAAAAAATCCGCGGGATATACGTGAAGAAGTCAACGATATCTCACATGCAGGTGATGAAGAGCAACGAGAAAAATTGTTACGACTACCCCTGGGAAGAATAAAAACCATCATTAAAATGGATCCTGAAGTTTATTCTGTTAATCAAGAGGCTGCGTTTTTGATGGCGAAGTCAGTGGTAAATATCAAATAATTAACCGTGATACATTTTATAATGTGTTAAAATAATCATCTATCTTTTAATAGGAATTTTTTATTGAATCTCTTGCAAAGGAATCTTATAGATATACTGCACAAGCAAAGAAAAGGACTGTGCAAAAACATGATGTAGAAAATGCCATTGATAATGTGGATGCACTTGTATTTTTGGAAGGTATGCTCGATTAATTGTACAATTAATATCTGCTGTTATAGAATTGAAAAAATTAATGTTTTTTATTTTTGATACAATCATAAAGACAATGATGTTTGCGAGCATTAAATACTGTTGCTTATTGCAATAGATCTATTATACTGTATATATTTTTTATATTGTATAAATAAGAATATAAATATTTGAATATAATATTTATCTATGTAATAACTATCCTAGCGAAAAATACAAATCGGAACAAAAATTGAATGTAAAGGACAATATAGTAACAAAAATGTAAGCAAACATTCTAAATAGTGTAGATTTAAACAATGGAATATAAATGAAATATAAAACGTTTACAAAGTGTTTTAACACTCTTACATTCCATTGTTTCAACTTACGCTCCTTAAAATGTTTGATTATGCTTCTATTACTCTCCCTTTACATTCAACCTACATTTCTTACGCTTTATTTTCGCAAGGGTAGGAAAATATTTGTGAATGTTTTTCATCTACCAATAAAATTGATTGTTCCTTACTGAATATCTTTTATATTTTCAACTACATCATATATAAACATATTTCACATTCTGAAAGCATTACTAAATGTACTGTATAAAAAATCGGCATTTTAGTTTGAAATTCATTTATTATATTTTTCATTGGTACACAACAGATTGTTTTATGTATGTGTGTATTTAACGCTTTACAAAAGGAAAAGTATGTAGTAAATTATTTATATGTTAAAACTCATAAAAGTGTTTGTCAAATAATTGCAATTATATTGCAGATTTCTTCGTTCTTTTTTCCTATTCTTTTTTTTTTTAATTCTTCATAACTTTTCCTATATTGCTACCCTATTATTTTACATTTCGCTACTTGACTATGCGGAATGAAAATAAACGCAAAATGGAAATGAATAATTTTTACTATTTGCGCGTGTATGGTTAAAACAGATGCGAAAACTTGAAATAAATTCAGAATGAGAATTTTATTCAGTCTCCACGAATGAAGTAAGAATATTCTGTATATTAATGTATACATATACAATGTGTGATCACTTCATGAAATGAACAATGTTTATTGCTTTTTTATTTTTACTGCACTATTTCTAAAGCATTTTTCAGAATAAAATCTTTGCAATCCACACTGTTCTTAATGTTCTTAACGAAGTCTATAACTTTCTATGTGCCGCAGCTAATTGCAGCTTCTACAATGTATTATTGCATACATACGTACTCACATATGTATATAATATTTTATTTTTATTTTTTTTAGTGTTGTGTGTATACGTGTATACAGGATAAAATTTCAAACACAATAGGATAAAAAATATGTCGTTGTGTATTGCAAAATACATCATTTTTTAAATAAACAATTAAGTGTCTTTATACAAATTGATTCATCTCATTATTCTATGCGTAAAAGTATTAAGGTACAATTATCAAAATAGTTAACGGTTTGCAAGGTATTTAATATTTCATGTCAATACATGGCCAAAATAAAATGTAGAATAACTCGAAAACTATTAACTTTTCAACATCTGTATTCTTCGACACTTTAATTCTTTTGTATACAGAATAATTAAAGAAATCATATTATGTAAAAATTTTATTTTCAAAATAACAACTTTAATGATCTCGAAAGTAATTTTATAAAATTAATTTTACCACTTGTTCTTCAATTTATAACTTTTATTTGTTTTTCCATATCTTCTATATTCGAAATATTTATCCCATTTCGTTTGAAATTTTTACCCTGTATATATATGTATATACATATATATACATATATATAGATTTAGATTTAGTAGTTTTATGTATACATACATGAAGTATACAATACACATGTGTACAAATATATTAAGAGAATGAGAATTAGGATGCTAGGATCATTTGAAGAAATCAAACTATTTGCACGTATAGCAGAGTATATCGTTAGAAATGTTTTCCTAAATAATATTTATATACATATATATGTGTATACATACGTATATGTATATAGATATATGTATAACTTACATAAGTAACAAAAATAGAGAAAAATCAGTCTTTTTCACATCTGCCAATTCGGGATTTAAATTATAAATGACATATATACAGTAAATGCAAAAAATGTTTGTATGTAAAATTTTTAAAAAACTTTATTTATTGAAAAGGACTATTGTAATTTATTAACAATGAATATATTCTGTCCTAAATATATAGAAAATCTCTGCGAAAATAAATATATTCATAATTTTAGAAGGTAAATTTCTCGATTGTACAAATACTGTTTATGCGTTTAAATAGTATTTATTTTTTTATTGACAATACGTATTTTTAATTATATATTTTTAGATAAAATAATTTTGAGAAACGTACAATGGATTTGCACGATCTGTTTCTCAATCTTTATTATTAAATTATATAATAGCTAATTAGTATGTTAACTTTCTAGAAATAAGGTTTTTTAATCAGTATCTCCCTTGTATAAATACTTTTTGCATTTACTATATATAATTCTTTAGAAATCACGACTTATTTCAATGATGAAGTTAATATTATAAAAAATAAAACAAAATAAAGTAAAACTTCTTGATTTTATAATATGTAGTCTGATATAGTTTTTTTTTTCTGGAAGAACACAAGATTATAGCATACAAATTGTCTAAATGCATATAAAAATTTTTATGTTCAAATCTAGCTTTGCGACGCATACAATATTTTGTTTCTATGATCGTTATTTGGCATCTCTATGTATTATCTTAAAGAGAATCATGTTTTTGTTATTTTAATCTATAAAATATCGCACTGAATGTTTTTGTTTAATGCATCTGTTGTTTAAAAAGTTACTACGGTGATACTCTCCTATTATTCTCGAGTTTTTTTTTCTTTGTAACGTGCAAGTCTACTCGATATGATGTTTTGTAGCACATGTAAGTTCATCGTGAACACAGTTTCTCATAATCTCATATTGTGTATCAGTCACAGATATTAATGTTTTATGAATATTTATAACATCTATATGCTAAGGTTAATTGTTTAAGGCTAATGTAAATTTAAGATTGCATATAATATGCGCTAATATAATACGCACTCTATAATTATACAACAACGATGTCAAACGCTTAGCAATTGTTCATCTACTGCTATTTATCTACTTCTTACGCTTAGTTTTGCGTCGTCTGCTATCGCTTCTGAAAGAATTTTGATCCTCTGATGTATTAACGCCAGTACATTTACTATGGTTGTAGAGATTGTTTAGGAAATCCTCGAAATCCGCTTCGCTGTTTTATAAAAAAAGATATGTATATATATACACACACACCACACACATATATATATATTCATTTTAAATATACACACTCAAAGAGAAGCTCAAGAGCTTCTCAGAATTGAATCAATATTTAAGTTTAAGAACACACATGACGATAAAAATCAATCGCCTAAAATGTACCTTGTATTGGGATCTATTTGTTGCCGCTTTTTACCGCTATTGGGTGTTTGAGTCGGTAATCTTTGTCCTAAGACGATTCTATATTGGACACCATGTGTATTCGCTCTAAGATGTTTGAGATTCCCAGCTTGGCAAGCTGCCCAGTCAGTCACATCATACACGGCTCCTTCCATGCACGCGTAGTAGTGCCATAGGAAACCCATTAAACGAGATTCTGCCCATATATCACCCTATATGGACACAATTTAAACGATTAATTAAAAAAAAAAGACAGCTGATAAATATATACAAATAAACGCGGTACTCGCTTCTTTCGCACTGTGACGTATTTTGCATTGATTGCAAAATCGTGCGGCATAACAAGGACGTTGTGTTGGGATACGTTTGTGTCTCAAACCGCAATTTGTACACCTTATTGTATTTGCTGCTTGTTCCATCTTTCGATGAAGTTGAGATAGCAAGTCGCTTAGATCACCCCAAGCCGCTTCGACTTGTCTAGTCTGATCAAATGCTTGCCTACGTTCCTAAAATAATACACAACGTTAATAAATGTATATGCGTGGTGATCTTATATAGATCAAAAATAGATGTTGCTAATTTTCATTATCAATCTGTTACAAAAAAATTATAAGAAATGAAAGCTTTATTACCGGTTCCCCAATGATATCGAAGGCATGTACCAATATTTTGAATGCTTCTTCTGCCCCTGGCTGATTATTTTTATCCGGGTGTACTAAGAAAGCTTGCCTCTTGTAATATTTTTTAATATCGTCATCCGAGCACGTAGGCGTAACACCGAGTATGCTGTAAGGATCCTTTCCCTTGCATGCTAATAATCTTTTCATGGCTTCCTCACCGGTGCTAGGTAACGCAATATTAGTTTCTAGTCCACCATGAATCCAATTACCACTATCTTCTTTCTCTTCGTTCTTCTTAGTATTTATCTTTCGCCAAAACGCAAATTTACTACTACCGAGCCAATTGTCCAATTGTTTACCAATAGCATTGAAAATATGAATTTTACAAAATGTCACAGCCACATATATCCACCAACACTTCAAATAAAGTATAGTATGATACCAAGCGCATTTACCACTGAAAAATATTAAAAATGGAAACTTTGTTCTGAAAGTAACTTATATACAAAGCTGCGAGTGCTTTTTATTTAAACACAAATCAACATAAAACATTCTCCTATCTTTCTTGACATTCCATAAGTAACAAAGAACAGGACAATACTTGTACTGATTTGTGTGATCAAATAAAAATCACCCAGAGAGAATCTAATATTTAAATGTTTATGTCGGTACTCACAGTTGAATAACCAGGTTGACGCTCATGCTAACTACATCAAAGATTAAATGCAATAGCCAATAAAAGATTTTCAATAGAATTTTGCTCCAACGAGTCGCATATTTATTTAAATTTTTATATAAATCTTTAATAGAAGATTCTTTATTGTCTCTCTTTCTATTTCTTTGTCCCTTCTTAATTTGTTGCTGGGCTTTTTCAATTTGAAAACGTTTCTTTTCCTTAACTGTCTTTTTATCCTCTTTAATGCCTTTATTAATAATTTGTTGATTCTTTTCTATTCTTTCAGATGAGACTGTCTGACTGGATGTATTAATTGTATTCAAGTTATTATTTATCTGTATCGGACGTTTTGGAATATTTCCTGCAGTTTTAGGATTATTATTTTGTATCTTGGTATTATTGAGAGTCTCATTCTTTTCTGCTTTCTTAGACGATTTCTTATCAGATTTCTTCTTTTCCGAACAAAATTGAACGGATCTATCAAATGTATTTATCTGACGAGAATCAGATTGTGAACCAAGGTTGTCTAGTGATACCCAACGTCTTGGAAGATTGGAAGAATTTTTTTCGAAAACTTTTTTAGGAATTTGCATTTTCGGAGAATTGTGATCATCACTACCAGACGAATTCTGTCTCTTCAACAGAGTAGGTTTATTCTTAGTTTTCATATTCTTATTAGAGATTTTCTTGCCTGTTATCTCGATTTTTGGTTTTATAGGCTGAATCGTTAATGGAGATGGTGGAGTTGGTACAGATTTCGTTAAAACATCAGAATAAGATGGTCGCATAGGCTTCACTTCAGCTACCATTCTTGGCTTTTTGTGTTGAGAGTCCGATATATTTCTAGTGGGTAAATCTTCGCTTTCTCTTATATCGCGTACAGTTTGCGGTACAGGTGTGATATTGGGAGATCCTCCAAATGGACTGTAAGTACCAGATTGGTTTGGCACCCAATTTTCAACTAGATTGTCAATTAGCTGTTTTCCATTAAAGTTTTGACTTGGCAACTCAGATGGTACAGTCATATGTTGATCATTGAAAAGCCCATACTCCTGATTAACGATACTTTGATTAGAGTAAGATGTCATATTTGAAAGACGACATTGCTCAGCCATAATTTGAGAAGCATTTCCATAAATAACATTAATATAGTTACCACCTCCGACATCAATGGTACCAATTAAATCATTATTCTCATTAATGCCTAGATGATTTACTGTTGTTTGTGATGGAAAATATATTGAATCAGTTGTTGCAGTGTCATAACTGGACATATCTTGCATATATAGAGACGTGGTCATTGGTGTCACAGGTTGTATTCCAGAATTAGAATGTGTGGGTTGACCAGTGATGTGATGTCTGGTTTGTCTAGGTACATAATCTCCCCAATTACGAGAAGTGGTTTGTTGCGAAGGAACATTAAACTGAGCATAATGACCGTTGGAACCTTCTAAATCTGGAGTCATAGCTTCAATAATCTTATCCAAAGACATGTGTTTGAAACTAGAAGAAGTTTGTTGTTGTTCTGCCATATTGATTTACCTCTCTAGAGACAAAACAAAATGAGTATATTAATCAGATGTTGCAATGCCATTTACAAGTGTCAACTATTCAATAAAGTGACAAAGAATAGAGAAGGCTACATTTCATTAAAATTTTTATATTTCTAAGTGATGAATTATTAATTCTAATGATGATTATTAATGAATAATAAAACCTAGCATTTTAGGAAAATATTGTACAGTAACATATGCTAAATTTTGTGAGACTATATAATAATAATTTGCCTGCTCTTATTTCTTTACAAATATCATGTTTCTTTTCCAAATTTATAATGATATATAATGTCAACTGAAATTGGAAGATATATAAATACGTTTTCTAAAAAAAAATGTCTACTATACACATATATATACATGCACACATATAATACTCACATAACCATAGTAATTCGTTGAGAACGTTAAATATCCATTAATCTACAAGTTAGGAATATTCGATAGCACAAGAACAACTGTTTCGCATTGTCGAGATACATTCGTATTAAATAATCATTGTCAAGAGAGCAATTTAGCTTAAATAAATGTTATAACCTAAAACGTATCGAATGTTAGCAGACGTCGGTACAGTCGGTACATTACTCACATTCACCAAGAGATACACTTTTTCACAATGGTTGCTTATAGTCACAGTTCAGCAAATTTTATGTTTATTTTTAAAAAACTATATTTATACGAAAAACACGATTTTACGCTATATACCATGCGGTAAATGTAAAATCGAGCATCGTATTCGTGTTCGGAGACGAACCTAACCAGTGATACCAGATGGAGAGATTTTTGGAGATTTTTTTTCCCACCATTCCACAGTTCCCATTGCACGCGCAGTAAAACCAATGGTGTAAATTTAGAGACTGCGCACAATCAAGAAATAAGGGTGCAGTCACAGAAGGAATTAGAAACAATAAGAAATTTTAGCCTATCAGAAACTATGTATACCAATGTATATAATATCTGATAAGTTGAAATTTCTCTTATTCCTTATTTCTTCTATTGTAACTGCATTCTAAGAACAGAAAATAGAAACAGGAACAGAGAATATAAGACTCCATGTATGCGGTGAGCTGCGGTAACAAACGCATGCGGTGACCAATCAGGAGCCAGGCGCATGCCGCATCCGGCAGAAGTCTGGCATGCGCCTGACTTTTGATTGGTCACCGCATGCGTTGCCGCAGCCAGAGAGAAACCTGAGAGAGGACATAACGACCTAAAACCTGTAACCACAAAATACTGCCGCGCACTACTGCCCACTGCAAAAGTGGATGTGAGCTACATGCCAGATCCACTATTCTGAGGATAACGCATATACTTTTCAAGACTGATGGTAAGTAGATATTCGCGGTTCGTATAATCGTATTCGCGCTACATAAAATGTGGATCAGAATAAATATTCCTCCCTGCAACTACATATATGTATGCTTACTTCCATGCGCGTGATGTTTATTATTAAGCTTAAAAGTATTAACATTAAAGATGTATATTACACCCATTTTTTTTACAAATATGTTAAAATATATCGCGCGTGTTTATATTTTAAATAAGTTATATATACATATATATGATCCCGGCAATTAATTCGCATTTAGAGATTTCAACATTACAGAGCTGCTTTGTGAAGTTGGCACCTTAAATGCGAATATTGGTAAAATCATTATTGCATTCGTTTGT